TTTCTTACCTCTCTGGGCTTCTCTGCAGCATTTGGACCTGCTAAAATGGAGAACTCCTTCCTTTTACAACTGTCCCCCTAGATCGGATTTGTTTTGAAATCAGGCAGGCCTGGCCACTGACCTGGCTTAGAGTTCCACGTCCTCCGATCTCTCTGGTTTGCCCTGGGCCAGTGCCCAGCCTCTTGGGGCCTCTGCTTCCTCATCTGTGAGGATGCACAGTTGATACTTTGAGATACTACCCAAGGTTTCTCCGCCTCCTCCTCCCTTGTGCCTTTCCCTTAATCATTTAGACAAAGAAACAGGATCCTATACTGATCTATATTCAATCTGATCTTAAGCTTTTCATAATATTTGTTTCTAGGAAAAACCAACCAAACAAAATGAAAGCAGTTCTCCATACATACTGTTCTTAGAGGGAAGACGAATGTGCTAAACTTGAAGAAGTAATTGCTCAACTGTGAGTTCTGAAGGATTCTTGTTAGAGCCTCATGCAGAGACATTATCTTGAAAACAAAACTTTTTTGTTACAGCAGGCAGGGGGTTTGAAAGAGAAAACTGTTTGGGACCGAAAATGTTGAACTAAGGAACTAGGATCCTTGAGAATTCTGCAGAGTGTATACTATGAACTAAGGAACAGGAAAAAATGTAGGATGACATTAAAACATTTGTCTCTACTTGAAAAAAGCAAAGATGGAGTCAATGATTGTAGGAAGAAAAGTAAGCAAGGTTACAACCCATTTAGGTCCTTAAGAAGTGCCCTGCTCAGTGGCCCCCTCCATGGACCTAAAACCTTGGACAGAAGGGGAAAGAGAAATCCCAGATAACCTTAAAGGGTGTCCAGAGCCAAAGAGTCCATTGTCTGGCTTCCCAGGTAGTAGCTCAGAATTCAAGTCTTGAAGAAAAGCCTCATATCCAAAATGGCCCCAGAAGGGCAGCCTGACAATGACTAAGGAAATTTCCAGGTCAGGTGAACCACAGGAAAGCCTCATAGAACCAGCAAAAGGATCCTGTGAGCCCCTCCATGAACAGGAAAATGAGCACAAGCCACAGCCCCAAAGGAGCCAGTGTTTGGGACATGGAGAGGGAGGAATGTGTGATTATCACATACATGATAGGAAACCATGAAGACCACATAGACTAGAAAAGACAAAGTTCTCAGGAGAACACAGGAAACAGAGGCTGATGTCGACCCCTCCCCACCATGATGTCATATAATCCAACACCCCAGAAACTTAGCTCACCCCACCCACACACAAGGAGTAAAGGAGGGGACGGGGGAACTTGCACTCATTGAGTTGAGTTGACAACATGAAATTTTCTGCTCTTGTGGAGGCTGAGATGTCACGACTTCTGAAAAAATGTTTATATGTGAAAAGTCAAATGAACTCACTCTGAAATTTGAACTTGTCAAATGTGAAATAGGTGTGCCAAAACCTACCTCACAGAATAACTGCAAGCTTTAAAGGGGCAACGATCTTGGTCTTCCCCTCCTGTGGCACTCTCTTTCAGTTCTCTGGCTCAGATAAAGAAATAACCGGGTTTCAGTCCTCCCAAACACCTAATAATATGGCCCAGAGAGCAGGTGAGCAGATTCATAGACAGATGAGTGTGGCAGTCCCGCAGAAGCAGGTGGTTTCCACAGAGAAGGTGGGACCCTGGGTAGAAAGCAGGGACGATGTCATATTTTTAAAGAGCTGGGCTGACAAATAACTCAACCCACCCAGAGACTCAAGACCCTCAATAAATGATTGGATGTCCTCCTCAGTACTATATTTGGAACAAATTTGAGAAGGAAAGGAGGAGAAAGCAGTTTTTATCTTTCCACACTTATTCTACACAAGGAGTCAGCATATTACTGCCCATGGCCCAAATACAGATCACTGTTTGTTTGTTTGTTTAAAGATTTTATTTACTTATTTGACAGACAGAGATCACAAGTAGGCAGAGAGGCAGGCGGGGGTGGGGGGTGGGAAGCAGGCTCCCTGCTGAACAGAGAGCCCGAAGAGGGGCTTGATCCCAGGACCCTGAGATCATGACCTGAGCCGAAGGCAGAGGCTTAACGCACTGAGCCACCCAGGCACCCCCACTGCTTGTTTTTATAAACAAAGTTTTATTGGAACACAGCTATGCTCATTGGTTTATGTGCTGTCCAACTATGGCTGCCTTTGAACTGTCACAGTGAGCTCTATAGTTGCAGCGAGACCATGTAGCCTGCAAAGCTGAAAATAGTTCCTGTCTGATCCTTCAAGGAAAAAGTTTGCCAGCCACTGTACTAGACAGTAACAACTCGTGCTTTTATAGAGCTTAGAACGTATTTCACACACGTAATTTCATTAACTTTAAACAAATATCTCAATGGATTAGGATATTTTATCCACCATAGCATCATTGTGTTGCTACATGTTTCCAACCTTATAAAAATTAGGAAGCTGAGGTTCTAGGTGTTAATGGACTTGGTGCTAAATAACAGAGGAGTCTTCAAACCCAGTGCCATTTCGATCCCACTCACCTGCCATGTTCCTTACATGAATAATGTCCTCAACGTGACCTGATGAAAGTCTTTTTTTTTTTTTTAAAGATTGACTGATTGATTGATTGATTGGGGGAGGTGGGGCTTGGGGGTGGGCATAGAGAAAGGGACAAGAAGACTCTACTGAACGAGGAGATCAACAAGGGGCTCAAACCTATGACCCATGAGATTTCGACCTGAAATCAGGAAATCATGGGTTGGATGCTCAACTGACTGACCCATTCAGGTGATCCTCATAACCTGATGAAAGTCTCAATGGACTCAAAATCATCTCAAGGAGCATTAACAAAGTAGTACTTTTTCAACAAACTCTGTTGTGTAACCACAACAGCACCACTCATCAGAAATGCTCGCCTCGGCTCACCCTTAGAAGTGCTCACCCAACCCAAGGCCACATCAAGAGCCACACTTATGGAAATGATGTGGATCATACAGCAATGTGCCCCAAGCTGCAGAAGGAATACATCTTCCCAAAGGCATTTTATAAAAAGAGCATGTCAACGTATGACTGCCAAAAGGTTAAAAACGTAATTCTCATACAAATAATACAGTGGGCACATGTTGTTAATGAGGGAACTGGCAAGACAGAAAAACTGGTTCAAAGGCATACAGAAGAAATGAATACATACAGGCAATGAAAAAAGGGCTGCTAGCAGAAATATAGCAGCTTTGTTCATAATGCCAAAAACTAGAAGCAACCAAGATGTCCTTCAGTAAGTGAATGGATAAACAAACTGTGCTACATTGTGCAATGGAATATTAGTCAGTGACAAAAAGAAATGAGCAACAAGCCACAAAAAAAAAAAAAAAACATGAAGGAAACTTAAGTGCATACTGCTAAGTAAAAGGTCAAATACTGTAGGATTCCAATTATTGGGCGTTCTGGAAAAGGCAGAACTGTGGAAATAGTAAAAAGATCAGCAATTGCCAGGAGGAAGGGAAGAGAGAAGAATGGATAAGTAGAGTACAGAGGATTTTTTTTAAGACAGTAAAACTGTATGATACTTAACATTATACATTTATCAAAGCCCATAAAGCTTTCCAGCATGAAGAGGGCATCCTAATGTGTGGAAAAGGTTTAAAAATCATTTAAGAGCTTGGGGGATCCCAGGATGGAATGCTGGCTATGACCTGAGAATCTGGCTGTATGACAAATATGTGAAACAATCTCACTGCACGGGAGGGGAGGGGGGTGGGGCGTGTGCTGACCTAAGTAACTGGAAATTAGTGGAATCTGTAAGACTAAAGGCAGAAGGAGCTGGGTGTAAGCACTGTACCCCAGCAAATGAAGTGGTTTCCCATGGGGGCATGGATTAACTATTCTGATGCTACATTACGTGAATCTTAGAATTGAACAATTAAATGAATGGATGGTGGGTGGTGGGAATCAGGCTTCCCACTCTTGAAGTGAGAATTTACGGGGAGTTCAGGGAAGGAGGCCAGAATGACTCATGTGGTTGGAGTTGGAGACATTCGTAAGAACTCATGTTTAGTTTCATATGGTTACAGATGGTTACATACAGAAACATTCACAGACATGTGTGTACATATACATATAATATACATGGGTGTATATGTTAATATACATGGGTGTATATGTTAATATACATACATGTATTTCCCTGCTGTCGGCTGAGAGGGCTCAGGAGAAACAATACCCCATTAGCAACCAAAAAACCTGGCGCCTGGGAGACATGAGTCCCTATAAAAAGGATATAAATAAATGGTTCAATAAATTAGCAAGTGGGGGAGAAACAAACCCCCCTGAAGAAGAATTCCAAACAATTTATGGAGACCCTCCACCCTCAAGGAGGCAGAGCAAAACTCGGGACTCTAGGGATGAACTACATGCTGTGGTACATGAACTACATTCCAGAGAGGACAGAGTTGAAAGGGGGAAGAAAAGAGATGTGTGCAGTGGAGACACTTGACAAACACTACCTCTGCCAGGTGCTCTGGGCCAACATTAGCAATCGTATATCATTTTGATATAATGTTGATAGGATGTACCCTTGATAGGGTGTAATGACAATGGCACTTTATCTCTGTGGTCTTTTCCCCAAGCCCATAAAACTAGTCTAATCATGCAAAAACACTGGATGCATTCCCATAGATACGTGATCAGGACTCCTCAAAATTGTCAAGCTCATCAAAAATAATGAAAGACCAGCAACTGCCGCAGCGGAGAGGCGCCTACAGAGACCTGACCATTATATGGGAGGTGGTATCCTGGTGGGATTGTGGGATAGAAAGAGACATCGGGTCAAAACTAAGGGAATCGAAGTCAAATATGGAGTTTGCCGAATAATAAGGTAATAATATTGGTTCGTTATTTATAGCACACGTATCCTATTAACATAAGATGTTAAAAATAAGGAAAACTGGGTTCATACAGGATACAAGGGAACCCTCTGCACTAGCTTCTCAATTTTTCAGTAAATCTAAAACTGTTATAAAAAATACAGTCTAGGGGTGCCTGGGTGGCTCAGTGGGTTAAGCCTCTGCCTTCAGCTCAAGTCATGATCTCAGGGTCCTGGTATCAAGCCCCGCATCGGGCTCTCTGCTTGGTGGGCAGCCTGCTTCCCCCTCTCTCTCTGCCTGCCTCTCTGCCTACTTGTGATCTCTCTCTCTCTCTCTCTCTCTCTCTGTCAAATAAATAAATAAAATCTTTAAAATAAAAATACAGTCTAGGGTGCCGGGTCGTGATTGCAGCATCCTAGGATCGAGTTCCGCATCAGGCTCCTTGTTCAGTGGGGAGAATGCTTCTCCCTCTCCCTCTGCTCCTCCCCCACTGCTCATGCTCACTCTCTCTTAGGCTCTCTCTCTCTCTCTCTCTGTCTCAAATAAATAAATCAAATCTTTAAAAAATACAGTCTATTCTTTAAAAGATTGAAGATGCTAAATTAGCTACAAAAACTACATTTCAGAGCAATAAGGCTACAATCTTTGGGGTTAACTCTTCAGCCAGACAGAAACCATCTGCCTATGCATAGAAATTCATCCTTCTACTTTATTTCCAAGTTTTGCATCATTTTCTCTTAACGAAGGTAACACATACTGTTTTCTTCACAGAAATCACCACGACTAGCTAGATCCGTGGTTCTAACTGATGGGTCATATAAAGGACAGTGGCATCTTGCAAACCCATTGCTAATATGAAATCAAATACTGAGCAAGGTGTAAATTTCATTTTTTGGCACAACTAGAATGAGTATCTCATGTTACAGAGCTGTTCAAAAGAGGAAACACAGAGGTGAGACGGTTGCTACGTGAAACGTACAGTCAGGCAGTAAAATACAGATTTTTAATCAATCCAGTACTAAAGGCAGATTTTATGATAATTTAAACATGTGAGCAAAAGACCAAGACCGTGAAAAGGTCATCTCAAACAAACACATGGGTCTGAAAAACTGCCAGGAGAAAGTCGTAGAATTGTGAATGCTTTCCCAGACCCCACCGGCAAGCACTCCACCTAGCAGTGATCACGTGGCAATATATGGCTTGTTTCCTGTTTTGATTATTTCAATCCCTTCAAGCATGCCACCAACATTCCATAATGGGAGAAAGGGCTAGAAACCAAAGGGTTGAGAGTCACTGAACCAGACCGCCAAAATGTCAAAAACTAAGAGAACGTGAGAAAGATGGAAAGAGCATTAAGAGGTTAATAGATTGTTGACCTTAACCAGAGTTTTCATGGTTAGGCAAAACACTTCCCAGTTCACCCACGCCTATGACTGCATTTCAAGAAGATAGCTCCCATGTTGGAGAATTCATCTCCCAGCAGCCGATCCCAGGAGAGAGAAATGAAGGGGTGGAGGGAGAGCAATTTTTCATCTAGCTAAGCCTCAGACTACTGTCGACATTGTAATTATATTACGCTTGCTGTTTATTTTGGTAATTTATTGGGATAAGGTACACGGGATAATTGAAAAACTAAATTCAGTCAGTCGGTTACCAAAACATTCAACTGGTTTATGTGTGGGGCAATAAAGTGGCAAAGTGACACAGCACCCAAATTGTAGCCATGTGTGACTTGGCTTTTTTACTTGGGGAAAGAAAATGGTTAAGCTCGAAAGATTGTATTTCTGTCATTCGCTCTCTGAAGGAATAATGAGTTCCTGCTGGGGACACAGTGGCCCGGGGAGGCAAGCAGAGAGGTGGTTTGGTGCGTTTCCAAAGCTGTGTGAGCCTTCACCACGAGACCCTGGTTCTGCGGGACAGACAGTCAGTGAACCTTGCTGAAACTGGCTGGGAGTGCCACGTGCTAATAGACCGACTTTGCCCCGAGCTCCCCAAGCACGGCTCAAACGTGAATTAACATGAGCTCCTTTACGACAGAGTGCAAAGCAGTCGTGCAATCCTACAGTCACCAAAGATTCATGGAGTCAACCACGCAGGGCCTCCCGGCTTTGGTTCAGAACCTTTGTCAGGTGCTAGGGATCTCTCTTGAGTTCCCTGGAAAGCAGATCTCAAGATAAAGGATTCATTTCCCTCCTGTACAACCTACTCTAATTTCCGTGACTCTTGGCCAGTGCTCCAGACAGCCAAGGCTGCCTGCCTGATGGGCCCATGAGCCAGCACCTCAGCCTGAGCCCTGAGCTTCCTTGCCCTCATCACGCCATAGCTAGCTATCGAAGTTGCCCAGTTACTGTTATCCCATGGAAGCACCAAGACACACCCAAATGAGTCCTCTGGGTTCTAGTCAACTCCTCCATGCTCTTATTATTTTGAAGCAACCCACTCCTCATGGTAACTGAGGTCAATTTGGCCCACCAGTGCAGCAATCTTCTTCCTTGTCAGTTCTTCTGCTGACAGGAGGAGACTAAAATGACCCACCCAAGTTCACACACTGCCTAGTGTTTCCCTTGTGGGAACCAGGAACTTTAATATGGCAGAGCCTGAAGTTGCAAGCTTGAGAAGCAAGGACTGAGAGGCTCCACACCTACTTCCTCCCCTTAGTTCCTGTCTCTGTGAATTCTAGGTCTTGGGAACATAGCACCAGAGCCACTGATTTAGTGAAAATACCACACACTGAGACAGCCGCACCCCAACCCTACAGGTTATTGCCCCCAAGGCCTCTGGCTAAGCCTTCAATAATCTCTTCACTGTCCCACTGGACTAGCTGCTCCTCGTTAAGCAACCACCTGGTAAGACCAGTGGCTCTGTGGTCCTGAACCCATTGTGACAGAGTTATGCAGGATGCCACAACTATAGATCAGGAACTGTCTGAGCCCTTGGATGGTTGTTCTAACAGAGACACATGGGCAAGGCAGGTGTCAATTCAGTATGGACTAACTGAAATTGAAATCCCTCTGCCACCCAGTGGGTGGTCTGGTGTCCTCGAGGCTCATGATGGGTTGCCCACCGCCACAAAACAAGACCCCTTGTCTAGCTCATTATTGAGAGCGTCCCCTGCAGTAGAAGTTCTCTGGTGGGCATTAAGGTAGGATACAAAGAAACACAAACTTGGTTGTGCCCACAGTCTCATCCCTGTTCCCCAGATTATTTTATCACGGACCTTCCAATCTGGTTCCTTCAGGGCCCTGACCAAGCAGCCAAGCAATTCACCCTTGTTCCCCAGTTCACAGCCATCTGTATCTCAAGCTGCTTCTCCCTTTTCATAAAGTGAGCCTCCAAGTATGTGGTTTGTATCTCTGCCCACTGGAACAATTGCCATCGCCACTTTCTGTTAAGACCACCCTGAGAGGGGTTCTCACATGGCAGCGGTCCATTCCCAGCAAGCACGGAAATCCTGTGATCCTTCTCTTCCACTGTGCTGGTAAATGGGTGGTAGGTGGCTGGTTAACTTCTCTGCTGTGGTAGGTTCCGGGCAGAGACGTGATAGGAGTGAGGCTCTTTGGCACTTAAGTCTGTACTTTTCCTTGGCAACCCACCCTGCCAACCCAGAGAGCAGCCCTGGGCTGGGGAACACATGGTCTCTCCTGTAAGCACTTGCCCAGTGGGTGGTCACTCCTCCTCTAGTGACTGGCCAGAACGGGACAGCCTCCACGGAGCAGGTCACACAAATATGTGTGCACCAAACCCCACTCTGTCCAGTTTTGGGGGGCTCACTTGAAGCTGCAGCTGTGATTACCCCTTTGAGTGCAATTGCTATAGGAGAATGAAAAACCACAGTTTGGTTTGGGCCAATCCTGGCTCGAAAATTGTGTTTGCGAGAGAGCTGAGAGGTTGGCATTCCTAAGAGAACAGAAATGTTAAGAAATCTGCGAGGGGTCTGCTTTGTGTTGATTTTTCCAGGGGTTTTGAAGTTGCTGGATGCTTCGAAGTATTGAGTGACTAATTTCCCTTCCCCCTTTCTTTTTTTCCCTAAAATCTCATATGGTAAATATTTATTTCCTGAAAACCTGCCAAAAGAATAATTTTTTCAGAGTTGGAATATTATTTTAAAATGTAAAATGAAGTCTTGATAGTAAATATTATCAATGCAGGCGCTTGAATCTACATATAGCAACTTAAGAAGAATTGCCTTCTTTCGGTTTCAGGCTTTGAAAGTTTTAAGAGAGAGAGAGAGAGAGAATTCCAAATGCTTCTGAAGTGCTTATTTTTCTCTAAAATCCAGGCTTACGTTTTGGATGAGAACGGTCAATCCAGGACAGTTGGCAACTCCAGGTAAAAATGGGCCTATGATTTGTTTCTAGTTGTGTTATTACACCTTTCGAGCCAAGGATGAAGATTGGCAGTGCCCTGGAGGAGGGGGAGAACCAGACACCACCCCCACCTCCCCTCTGGGAAGGCCTCCAGACAGAGCCTGGAGCAGGACCATGTTGGAATCAACCCAAACCAGGCCTCCCTGTGCAGCCCTCAGTCAGATCTGATTTAGGGCAACACTCTCAGAACCATTCTTCACTTGTGCTCACTCTGGTGGTCTGGTCTAGGGGTACCCACAGATTTGCTAAAAGGGTGTTGGTCGTGTCCTGAGAAGTACCTCTGCCAAGTCCATAATTTAGGTTGGAGGATGGGGATAACATACCGTGGGACACTGCCTGTTTCTGCCATTTAGTGAAGGTGTCAGCCTTTCACCGCGAAAAGTGCCGATTGAAAGTAAGGTGTTTTGTCTCGAGAGGTAGATATACAACTAGCCTGGAATTTAAAAATGTTTCCAAAAAATAATAATACAACTTATTTAATGAAAATGAAACAATGCAAGTGCCCTGTATCTTATGAAATTCCTTTGATGAGTAAGTCACATTACTTCTGGACTGTTGGAAAGCCAACTTTTCACTGTACAAATTGCCAGTGGATCATTTGGGAAAAGAACCAGAAGGTCAGGAAGAGCTCTTTATCACACTAATGGGGAAAGACACACAAAGCATGACCCAGATCTAAAAAGGGGCCAGCACTCCTAGCGGATGCCATTCATGGTTGAGCTGAGGGGGCTGCTGCCTGGGAGCAAGACAAAGAACATGACGGAGAAGAGGTTGGGGGGGAATAATGCCCAGGGTGAGACATAATGGGGAAACCAGGAAGACCTGG